CGCACAATGACTCGAGTCATTCAGAAATAAGGCCGAATTTACTCATTACAGATATAATCGACGTGTATGAGAATGTTAGATATTCCCACGTTGAGTTTTTAAAAAATTTTAAATGATCACAACACGGGAAAAGTATCCCTTTCGATGATAAATATTAGATGGTGGTGTCTGGCAATGACCTGGCGTCCCTTTTGAATTTTTTATGGCCCATGGTGCGGTAGCGTAGAAACTGATGCAGGGCAGAGATACATCATCACCGATCCCACAATCGCAGAGGGAAAATTACAATCTTCGAGTGCCCGAGGGACGCTACGCTTACTGGCTTATGCAACGGACTTTTTATTTATTTGACAGCCTAATTGTTATTAAAAAGCGCCATCGATTTTATCGTGGCCGATAACAGCTCCGCGTACGGCTGAAGCATCGATTCAACTGACAACAAAGAAAACGTTTGGCTTGAAACAATACCTAATGATACGATTTGTTTTAAACGTTTCACGGTGAAAGTTTCACACAATAAATCACCCGGTGTATTATTAATGGTGTTTATCGCCGACCGAGTTCTTTTTTTCATTTGTCATGATTTACAGTGCCACAATTTTTAAGATGCATTTTAAGTTGAGCTGTTGAAAAATTGTTGCCTAACACGAAAGATATTAATAACATTATGTCTAATCTACATTTGCCAACAAAGGTACATTAATTTATGACAAAACAATACAATGCAATATTAAGATATTTCGGTTAAACATGGGACCTAGGCATTGAGGTAAATCTTAAACGTTAAACAGTTATTATAAACGTCAGAAATAAAGATTATGAAAATAAAACAAAGAAACTGTATACGAATATCCACATTAACCGGAGATTATCTTCCATATACAGAGGCATGTGTTTCTGAATAATTCATGGATAACCTTTCAAAAGATCAATTTTTAAAACCAGACTGCAGTAAACGTTAAACCTGGACATTCCGAAAGAAATGATCAACCAACAGAAAATACATAATTATTTTTGTCTGCAAATGCTATGGTAAATTAAATTTAGGTATTTTCCTGCTTTTACGTTGACCCTGTGTGATTTGATTAATGATCGAAAAAGTAATAATTAATCTTAAATATGGACGTTTTTATGGCCATAATAAAAGGTAAAAACTCATTCAAACTCAATAGCATCAGGAACCACATAGGTACACATGGCATTTAATTAGAAAGGATAACGATTTAAAAAAGCAACGCAATTAACAAGATGTTTTCACAATTTCACGACTTTTTATTTATGTTCATTGCCGAGATTTTTAATTGCAACCTGAATGACCCAGAGACTAAAAAGAAGAGACGTTTCAGGTAGGCTTGAACCTTTTCAAACGTCGTTTGTTACCTTAATTTCGGATAATGAGACTCGAATTTAGATTCTCATTAAAATTGGATTGTCTATGAGCGTCCCAGATTTAATTGAAACGAATTTGCATCTCTGATTAGACGAAAACTTTATACTTTTATTTTAATAGTTATTCAAGAATTCCTACGACAAAATCTGTTTTTTCCTCAAATTTACACCAGTCATCCTGCTTAAAATGTAAAACACCCATGCATTTAAATAAGTTTGTCGATATGATTTTAAACTTTAAGACTATTATTAACGTCTGGCCTGTAAAAAATTGCCTTGTTATTTTTTGTCGCTTGTTAACGGAGTCACTGAAATTAATGAATTATATTCGACCCAAATAACTATAATTTGTTTAACACAAACCCAGTTATTTTAGATTAACGATAAAACTTTTTTCTTTGAATATCATACAAAAGTAATAATTTCCTTGCGCCAAGATAAAAACGGTTGATTAAAGGTCACCAAATCCTCGCTGATACGTTGTTACAATAAAATGCTTTTACTTGATAATAATCTCTGACTTAGATATTTTTACTACAATGAACCATGTTTTATTAATATATTTGCTCCCGTACAATTTTGTTTGCGTGATTGGTCAAGTTAATCCCCCATATTATAACAAGTATAAATTATAAAATATTTTTCTTAATCGTGATTGTATTTTTTATTATTTTGAATATATATACCTATATATGGATTCAAGACCCTGATATTGATTTATTATTGTATCATGCAAAAATCCTATTACGAAGTCTACAAATCATTAATCACGATTAGACGTTCGTAGTTATTAGAATAATAAAATTGATGTATGACATATAACAAAACTCCATAAAGTTTGGCTACTCATCATGACAAATTGATAGCATTAATAAATGTCATTCTTAAATCTGATTATTAGTACCAATACCATATATAAATTAACATTACTTGACTGTTTATGAAAAATGGTCCTGTATGAAACCGTTGGAAAATGTTTTTGAACCGTTCATATTGACTTCTTTCTATAAAAATTCAGCGCAGCATATGCGACGACTTTGTTTGGGCTATTGATATCGTTTATAGCGAGATAAAGCTTTTTAACGGTCTCAAAAACGACGCGAAATTATTCGAATTTCGCCAATAAAAATCGAAATAAGTACTTGGAAAGTATTATTCGCTGTTTGCGGGTACATAGTCATTGCTTTTAAAGTTGATTTTGTTTTATGAGTTCAATTGTTTGAAGGATTCGCGAATGGAGAGGATTCTGCCTGAAAAATAAATAATGCATAAGGACTATATAGCGAAAGAGTCTCGTATATGGTAAATACGAGATTGCGCTTAGTATCAACTGAATAAAATGAAACGTTGCACCTTTTGTAAAAGGCTACGGCATGGTTTAATAATGACCCTTGAATGGTATCCTGTTTTTTAAGCCGAAAAACATCTGTTTCGGTAAATTAATACTGTCGCATGAGTAACAACACCACACAAAAATGCTGTAAAATAGAAAAATGTTAACGACCGAAATTATTAAAATGTCATTTCCACAAAGTGCCGCCTAATAAGGCATTTAGTACAACGAACGGACGACAAACCTCCCAAAATTCCTAATTAATTGAAAAAGATCCGTTGTTGAACTAATTGTATTACGGGACCGCGCATTCGTTACTTCGATGGCATTTTTGTTTTTAATTAAAAAGGGATTTTGAAAAATTTAAAAAACGCTGCTTTTAACATTCACTACATTGTTTCTTATAGATAAGTCAGGTCAGGTATTCCTGATATTTTGTAACGTCTACTTAAAATTCAAGTAGCAAGTGTTCGGATGTATTCGTCGAATGGATTTGTGTGTGTGTACACAATTTCAACAGGAAGCAAACAATTTTTTTCTCGGTTTCCGAACCGTTCATAATTTAACAGATAAACATTATATTTTTTGTGTATTTATTGTGCACTTAAAAATGCGAATTTCCTCGAATTTTCAAGGAAACCATTATGCAGCTGCCAGAGCAGTAAACTTTCCTTTTTTTCTCCCGTGTATTGCATCGATTTAACGAGCACCAGGTCTTGGTTTTTCTATCTCGTTAGCGAAAGCATCGTATTGTGCCTAACGAGTGATTCATCATACGGTCTTATCCATCCCAAAAAGTGCGTTTTTCTCTACACCTTTCCCGTTTTTTGTTCGTTGATTCTGTTCTGCTTGTCGATGAGTTTTCCACCAATTAAATTGAGCAATTTATTAGGCCCGGGAAAACAAAAACCGGCCTTATTACATTCTTCAATATCGTCTCGTTTTAATGACAATTATAAGAGATATTTTCTAGTGTGCAACCATTCTCTAAAGCATCCTTTTAAGTGGAGGCGTCGCCGTTAATAGTGTTCGGGCACCTTTTAAAAATATTCTTTGTTCTCTTGAAAGATCGCAAAGAAGCTATTAAGTCGGGGTCCGTCTCTTTTGAATATTCTCGCACGGTCGGCGCTCTTTTATTTTTTGGTACGGCACAACTATTATTAATACCAAGTCTACTAGTGAAGTGGAGACCTTGAATCACGAGCCGGCCGACAAGTTCGAGTTTTAACTCTTGACCGGCAGGTTAGAAAGTTTTTTCAACTGCGTTTTGAGAGCCACAACGCGATTCCTAGAAGATAATATGCGTGTGATTTACACAGGACGGCTCGGATGTGACTGCTCATTTAGGCAATTATACATTTAAGCGGTCAGGTGTTTGAAATTTTCTTAATTCCATTTCATTTAACAAAAATGTTTTTTTAAAGTATCAATTACACAGCTATCTCTTCCGTTGCGTTGACCTCTGTCACAGCATACTACTAATTTAATAATGTTTTTGTTACGGTACAAATGAGATTTGCAAAGCAGTCGTAAAGTTAAAGTCGTTTTAAACTCCACCATTTCTGGTGCATAAACAAAAGAGAGAAGGCGTTTACTTTCATTAATTGCGCAATTAAACTGTCTACTATCCCTAAAACTTCCAATCTTAAGGGTAGCGACCCCCGAAGCCGCGAGAAGTCAGAAAGCCCTTTACTATTCCAACATACATTTGACCCAATTTAATTTAACTTTTCAATTACGCTCTCAGGATCTCTTACACGTGCACAATGTCCTGCACCGGTCCAAATTGAGCAATTCGGTATTATTTCGATCTCTAGAATAAGAAAAGGAGCATTTGACACGTCCTCGAAACCATAATTACATCCACAGAGAATTTCCTTTCGAGAACATTCCACTTTTAACTTTATATTATACAAAGTATTCGCAATACGCGGTAAACTTATTTATTTACGTTAAAGGCTATAAATTATAAATTTTACTGTGTAATGAACACATTAAACTTTGGTTTTAATGTCTGATCACTGACGGTTATATCGCGTTTTAAAACTTGCTACAACATACAACACATATTATGTTGCAATCGACGACATGTGGCCCGTAATTACTTGCAAATACTTTAAAATTCATACATAAAAAGTAGGTTATATGCACCCCAGAAATATTTCGCAATGGGGAGATATCGATCTTACTGTAAATTCCGATGTATCCCATTATATTTATACCTGTCAATGTTTTTAATTAAAAACTGACATGTCTTGTATGATTTAGGTTCACTTACTTGGAAATAGACTTGTCCTTGATCGACCCAGCCGACGACCATGTCGGCTCCGGCCATTCTGCCGTCTCTAGAAAATCCAAAACCCACATAACCTAGGGTGCGGACTTGCAGTTCGAAGGTGATGTCTTGAGGGCCTGGTCCAAGTGACCATAGTAGCCTATAATCGGGACTCAACATCGCCGAATGAGACCATCTTGCCAATTCGGCGAAACGCACTAAACACAGCACAAAAAACACAAAAACTAAATTCAACTCCATCGTGATTCAACAGGCGAGCACTGGCATCATCTGAAACAAAACAAAAATATTAAATAACTTTCCAACATAAAAAAATATTATATTTCGAAATGATATTTGCAACCTCCATTGCTCGTATAACATTTCTCAGGGCTCAACCTTATTCTTTATCTTGTATTTCAGTAATTTTTTAGGTGCAATACAAGCCAGCGTGATGAGTCATTGTTATTTTGCATCGCGTTAAGTTTCCTGATGGGATAAACACAAATATTCCGAACACTAGCGTAGTGTAATCTTGCAAGCCCAGCAAATTTCAATCTTATTACATCAAGGCATGAATATTTACAATGCTATCGTATAAGCACGTAACAACAATAGGAATTGTTCGGACAACAAAGATGCGCGATATATCGTTGAAAAGTGAGCTTTTGCGCTGCATTGTAACACTTAATAATTATTTATTGTAGGTACTTAAAAAAAATTCTCTGTCATGTTTAACCCATTAAACGTAGCCATTGTACCGTCGACTTCTATAAGCAAAATTAATTAAAATGTTTCATTTAGTTTCGACGACTTTCTTAATGTTTTCATAACCTCGCATTATTCCAATTATTTATCCTTCCTTTGCCTTTTTTGAGCGCTAAAAAAATAATTTTTACTGCCCAAACTTAATTCTCTTTGTTCTTTTGGAAGCTACAACCCCACTATAAAGTTTTATGGCCACGTGAAAGCCTTGTTTTACAAGATAATTCGTTCGTGCGCTTAATTCTGTGTTAAATAAATCTGTAATGTTTTTTATATTACGGTTATTGTCGGTACAGTTATATTATTATTTTTGCGTAATGAGTTTTATAGTCTTGGTGAATTAAGTCATTTTAACAATTGTACACGCTAAATGTTTAATTAAAATGCGTTGAGAAGATAGTAATTTATTGAATTAATGAACCTAGTATTGCCAGTCAAAGATGGTGCGTCAGATTCAGCAGACATTTACGGTATCTTAAAAGTCCGTAAATAATTTCAATTATCTCTAGAGTCGTATGATTTCCTATCCATACACATTATAAAGATAATCTCTTAAGTAAAGAAGGATGAGAATCCTTATATGCAATTTTAATTACAGAGGTATGTTAATTGGATTTAAAGACTTACTTGCGTATTTTTCATGCTGTGCTAAAAGTATTATCATTGTTATAAAGTTACCTTTTCAAGAAACCTTAGTAATAAGCAGCGGTTTTTTAAAAATGGGTTAATATTATAAGACAACATTCTTAATGTTTGTCTTGGTGTGGAAAAATGCAAGGAATCACTAGAAGAGACATGATTAGGCGGTGTAAAATGAAGTTTAATTTGTTCGTAAACAACTGTTGTGAGATAAAATAAGGTTCGTCAATGAAGAAGAGAAGGAATCTGGGAGATATGCAATGTCACTCATGGACCACAATAGTCGTTCGAGCTTGGTTACATCTCAGACATAACAGTAAAGCGGATTAAAGACGGGGGAGATCCGGGCTCAAAGTTTATCCTTCTCGCGGCATTATCCTCTTGCAACCAGTAAACAGACCTTGTATCGCTATAAATTAAATTTATTATGTAATACGTTAAAGTTGCCAATTATTCTGTGTTCCGAGCAGAATGAAAGACATCTGGTTAAATAAGATAAATCTTCAGCGAAACTTCTGACAGGCTTTCGCAGCTAATTCCTAGCTGTTCAACTAGTTTACTGAATTGTTTGCCAAAGTGATTTAATACTTTTATTACAGCTATTACACTACTGCTTTCACGTAAAAACCTTTTTATTGTGGGAAGTCGACTTGCAATAAGGCGATGGTACTTCAGCTCTGCAAAAAATCAGAGCATATGTTAATGCTATCGACAACGGTACTGTTTTAGTTTATTATAAAAACAAATTATTGGAATGTATTGTTATAGATTCTTCTTCTTCTTTCTATAACTTCTTAGGGGAAAACTGCACCTGTTACGGTGTTTCTGGTGCTTAAGGCAAAATGATTGTAGAATAGCTAGTCGTACGCATCGCCATTACATCATTTCTACAAATTCTTTCCATTTTCGTCTGTCCTTTGCTTTTGTCCATGTAAAACCTTATTTTTAAAGGTCTTATCCATGTGTTATTAGGTTTGCCTATCGTCTTTTTCCTGGTAATTTATAGTTATCCATTTTCATCTACTTTTCCTATTTTTTTCCACTTTTTCTTCTTTCGTATTTCTGTGCACTTCTTCGTTTGTATTGGGCAAGAATATACCGCATATAATTCCCACACATTTGTTACTAAAGATTTGAACTTTTCCTGTGTAAGTACAGTTTTAACATTTGATCTGAATATTCTAATCTTGGTTTTTATAGATAGGATTAATGATGATCATATTATATTTATCACTTTAAAAAGATTCTGTGCTTTTCCATTTCCTTTTCTGTTCCACGTATCAAACTAATTGATATACTTCGCAAGTAACAAAACGTCCCACTTCTTTTATTATCGGTTTCAATATTTGTTAGCTGTTTTGTATTTTTTCTGTTATATACAAGAAAAAGGCTCTAAAAATTATGTTTTTCTTTCGTAGCCAGGAGGACAGTTTAAGAATGGGCAGAATGTAATGATTGATAAAAATGTTTGCCAGTCCACATCTCATGAAATTATCATGAGCATTTGGAAATAACCTTTATATAGAGATTAAGAACAAGAAGAGATTATAGTGTGAATACTGGTTCCACATAGGTAATAATTTGCTGGTTTCAACACTTAAAATGTTTTTCTCCAGATCCATATATAAATATTAAAGGATAAGGAGGGATTAAAACATTATTAAAAAGTATTTTTAGGTTTGCGTGTAAATTTTTTATTATATTTAGACCAGCCAAAGTAAAAATAATTTAACTATTAGAATAAACGCGACAAATAGTGCATGATTTGTGTGAGAGGTAAGCAGCAGGTTCTAGGTGGCGATCGTGTTAAGTATTTTTCGAGCGACCGTTAGGCGTTTATAATTAAAAGCGGTAATTTATAGCAACTTTATTCGGATGAATAACGCAAAATTTCCATTCACCTAGAGCCATTTTCAATGAATATCTTTGAGATCGACATGCAATTAGAGGGGAAACAAGAAGACTGCATACACGACACACTTGTAATTAAGCGTGGTATTGCGTGTATACCCGAGAACCATGTTAAATAACATTGGTAAGGAAAGGCCATTTACATTTTAAGCATATTTAAAGCCGTCGAAGTGTTATCCTCTGCAATTTTCAACCGAACCGCAAATGCAAACCTATTTGCACTTTTTTACCACCTCGAATTACCTGCACAATTGCTGTTTTGTTGGCTTTACACACCATGGGTAATAATAAATAAATTCCAATTACTGATATATATTTTTGCATATATTTACGCGAAACCGCATGACCATTAATGTAATTTACGGCCACCATTAATTATATATTCCGTATTCAACCAGGTCGATTTGTGTCACATCAAATTTATAAATTTATTTAATAAAAGTGTGTCAATTCAACAACGATTAATATTAATACTTAACATTAAAAATCACTTGAATACCTCCCAGGAGAGCTTATCATAAAATATTTCAAGTATCAGAGCTACTGAATCGCAAAATATCCTTTGATCTTCTAATGACATAATTATAAAGCAAGTAGTCAAAATATCCGAGTAAATGGATGCTGGTATTAAAATAAAACGATGGCAGAGCTTTTAACAGGTATAAATTTAATAATATCGGTGCACTCGCTTAATGAACACATTACGTTTCTTTTAAAATGGGACCGGCCATATTTGGCTCAGAGATCTCGCAGCGGCTAATTTCAAACCTTTCATCGGTTTTTTTGACAGCGGCATTCGTCAAAATAAGTTAAAATAGAAAGAGAGCCTTCCCATACTTAAATTCAAGTTGCGTATCACGATGACTGGATTGGAATCCTTTTAGAGAGCTCGCTGTCCGGTATTAAATAAATTTAATTTGTGAATCGCCAAAATCGCAAAGTTTAATTAAACCTTTGATGTTAAGTGGAATCACTTATAATTACAGTCTGAATTAAACAACTCGAGATTTAATACTTGGAACAATAAATGGGAGTTGACTGTCATCTAATTTGGGGAAATTGTTTCGAGAGCGAAAGCGCGTACGTTTCTATAAAGTGACACGGCAAATGTAAGTTTGTTTCGTAAATTGTTAGAACTGCCACCAAATTAATAAGGAGTTATGAAGTAGCTTTACTGTCGAGCTTCTTCTTTTCTCCACCCAACTTTCATCACCTTACGAAAACAACTCACGCTCCAAACTAAGTAATAAATAACTACTTTCAAAGGAATTTCGTATACATCCACCTTTATTATGTGAAAGGGTTAATTTATAAAGACCGAACGACGTTTTTCAAGTTTACAACTTTATTCGCGAATAGGGAAACTTAAAGCAAACAGAACTGAAATGTTTAAACAAAAGCCAAATGTGTTTTGCACTCGATTGGTATGCATGACGATAAAAGCATTTACTCTTTAAACTAAAGTTTTTCAATTAAGCTCGGTGGTGAAGAACATCGAAACCATTGGAATAAAGTGCTTCGATATTTTGTGTTTAAAAATGCAAAAGGGTGAAAATATCTTATAGCCCGAGAACTCGCTGATGTATAGCGTTATTACGCGTCTTAAGAAGTAGATATTTTAGGTTGATGAAACAATTTAGATACGGAACGAGCGATATCAAGAGCGAGAAAAACCGCAGTTGAACGAGGCGAGTGTAAATATTAATTTGGCGCGTAAAATAAAAACTCCACGGCGTTCTAAATAATAACGATGCGTAGTGAAACTTTAAAGTTGCACTTTATTGACTGTATCCCGAACCAAACTACCATTGCGAGTCAATGGGCTGCGAGAAGGGGTCGTGGGGTGAGCACATCCAATATTTTAGTTCGGAATTAGTTCGACGCTAATATTTCAGCTCGAGCGGTCGGAAATATAAGACGACACCGTCTTGGATTTAGTGGAGAGCATCTTTGGAAAACTGTATTTACCGCAAATCGTCTAACGCTTCGCTTCGCGGCGTCTGAAACTAAAAGTCATCCGAAGAAATCGAATCGCTCTCTTTAAACGATATTTCAAACTCAACGGCATCCATTTATTACGCTACATTCAAACTTGTTCTACACTCTAATGGTTTTCATTTCGATTGATGTCTCTTACAATATTTAGCTCCTATACGCTACTGTTTTTGCTCCCTTTTATTTTACATCCACCTGTCAATATGACTAACTACTGTCTCTTCTAATAAAATCCCAGATCAATAATGTAATTCATTTACGTGGAAAAAATGACAAACCGTCTCATCATAAATAATGATACAATCAGGGTAGGATCAATCAATTTAAGATGTCTGTCAGTAATCAGCAGTAATTACCGAGCCTACCCTTGCCTATTAACGCCATTTTTAATTTAAATAATGGTAATATATTGTTCTAAACAAATGGGCAACATAATTCATGGCCTCGTATTATATTAGTGCATACAATTTTAATTTAATAAACTCTAGTGCCGACAATTTCGCTTAATTAAACCACGAATCATAATTAATATCGCATCATTAATATTAACAAAAGTCGGCTAAATCATTAAGCAAAGTCATTTTGGGTTTAATTATAAACAATCAATATTTAATGCCGAAATAATTTTAACATTACTAGGCATTTTTATTTAATTAAGCTCTAAATTAATCATCGAATTAAGCGGTCGCAGGATCGTACCTTGTGGCACAGCCAGTCGGTTCGCGGGTAGGTAATTAAAATCGATATTAATTTAGTTTGTTGTTGCAGAAATAAGAAAATAAGTAAACTGAGCCCGGAGGTATTGTGCCGTAGCGAAACCTATTATCGATGGACTGGCCGCAACAATGGTCCACGAACATCACAAAAAACCCTCTCATTTCACGGACATTATACCGGCTGAAAAGGAGCATTTTTCAACGTTAGGTTTTATTTTTCTGGTAAGTAATTAGCTACCAATGAAATCGAACCTGCCTTCGTCTAATGAAATTGTTTAATATCTGTGTAATGGAACTATACAAAAAAACTCCGAGCCATTGACGAGCATCTCTAATAGATATTTTAATTCATACTTTGACGGAAATCGTTTTTTTTAACACTCAACAATGGAATCCAGGTATTCATTTTATTTTACGGCCCAACTACCAGTTTTTTGTCTTGTGAGAATTAGCCATCGCTTTAAAATTGCTTCTAACTGGTTTTGACACTATAATTGTTAAAATAAATTACTTATTTCTTCTTGTAGGTAGATAATTAAACCGAACTTAATACATTTCACGACTGCCTAACTGTTTGCTTGTAAAATTTCACAAACGAAATAAAATATTGCCTGTAAAATTGTTAACAATTTTAATAACTATGTATCAAGTTGCATTTAGAGAATCTATTACCTGTTCGGTTTTATATTACAAAAAATAGTTCTTTTTCTATTCAAACACAATGATTTATTGTAGCAAATAAAGATTTGTTACTGAGAACACAGATTTTACAAAATCATCACGTAAACCCAAAATTAATACGATACACAATGATCGTGAGCCAGCTGTCTGGGTTTAGACACGGCGCGCCATCTAGCGCCGTTACATCGAACCAAAAACCCTGTTTCAAAGGCCAGACACGTTTTGTCAGTGTTTTATTTTGTTTTTGCACGGTATTATCTCTATATATATATGTGTTAATGTATTATCTATTTGTAGCAGAATTTGAAGGAAAATTGTCTGATGTTAATTTAATTTAAATTTAGGATTAGTTCATTTGAGATGGAAGGTGGAAAAGTCTCGGAAGATGGGGAAAATGCAAGTGGAAAATTTACTTTACATTGTCGCAAATCTCATTACCGAGACGTTGTCATAAAAACAATAAGATCATTGTGAGTTCGCGCAACACATCATTAAATTACGAAGCCTTGGGGAAAGTCTGAATTTACCGAGCAGCGACAAAGCAAAATAAATTTGACGATGTTTTTTAGACCTGATTTAGAACTTCGTTTTATACTTAATAATACCGAATGTACGATTTTTCCCGAATTATCCAATTTTCTCTATCTCGGGTTTTTGCGAAAATTTCAGCGGCATTTCTACTTAAGATGTTTTTGTTAGGTATCTGAATATCCTTTTTGGATTGTCAAAAAACAATATTAAAATATTTATCAAAAAATAGATCTCTAACAGCTTGTTTTGTGTTCGGCTGGCAATATTATTTATTGCCCGTTAAAATTTTATTGGCCAAGTGATTAGAATAAATTCTTCACAGTTTAATACTTTTCAGTTAAATACTGTTACATGTTGGGTATCTGTGTGGTTTACGAGACAACTGTCGGAAATATCTTTTTTAACTCAGTCACGAACTCTCCGCTGCTTTATGACGAAATTTTTCAGCGAATTCAACAATAAATTTCCATGAAGGTCCGTACTTTTCATCATCTGCAATCGGTTATCTAAGTTTCGACTCGCCTCAAAAGGTCCCTGAACCTTATATCTCGCAGAGCATTTATTCTTACTTATTACTTTGGAAGAAAAGTTTTGGGATGCTAATAAAGATGCTGAAAAGTTTTCTCGAGTATAAACGTATCTTTGTTTTGATATGTTGGTTAGGTAACTGTACACTTTAAGTAGTTAAGTACCTACGTTTATTTTTGTGCAGTTATGTTGTTAAAAGTTTGGTTATAATTGCTCCAAAATGATACTATCGGCAAATGCTGAAATATCATTAGACACAAGATTTTTATAGTTATTGAATATTTTCGTCAAAGTTTCTAATTGGTATTTAGACGAAAGATTGTTAAAGAAATTCAATCAAAAACAATGTATTTGGGTATTTGAATAAAAAATAACATTATAATGTTTAACAATTTTGTGTTGGTTCTTCATTGGTTATTGTCAGATTGTTTTAAGTTTTGTGGAATATTTAGTTTTTGAAGGCAAAGTTTCACAGGATAATGTGACTTTTAGTACCTATTGAAAGATAAATAAAGTATTTTAGGATTTATTTTTTATTTTATTCTCTTTTCATAAGTTTTTTTGGAAGGTTTTGTTCAAAGCTTCAAAAGAAACTCGTTAAAGATACCTAAGTTATGACAGTATCAGTTTGATGATATTCTCTTGGGCTCATTTTATGATTATAGTTTCGATGGAAACTGAAGTACTAAATTTGATGTTTTTGAAATTTTGCATTAATTAGATGGTTTTGATTTTGTTTAAAACTTAAAAATATAGTATTAGATTTGATGGTTAAATCAATTTCGATAGAAACTGAAATACTAAGTTTGATGATTTTGAGATTTTACATCACTTAGATGATTTTGGAGAACTGACTCACTATTCTTTGAAAAATGTTTAGTTTCAAAAGAAACTTGTGTTAAGAGATTTTTATCAGTTCTGATGGGATTCTTTTCGGCTCATATAATGATTAGAGTTTGGACTAAGTATTTTCAGATTTCCCATCATTTTTCGTGTGGTTAATGTTAAATGTTTTTCAAAGTTTCAAAAGAAACTAAGAAGTTTTTCTATGTTCTTTGGCTTATTTTATAATTATAGTTTGTGCGGTTAGATCAATTTCAATAGAAACTGCAATGTCAAGATTGTAGTTTTGTATTCCCATGCATATTCCGATTGAAGTGTTTTATGAAAGCCGTAGATTGTAAGTTGATGGTTGTTGAAAATCGCGGTTGTCGTATGCACTGAACGGCTTAATTTCCTATTTGCTAACACTCACCCGATGAAAATGAAATCCAAAATAGTGAATAGTTTATTGATTTGCAAACATAATTGCCACAGCACAAGTTCAAAAAAATTTCACAAACAATCACTTCACTGTATTATAGTATATGATGAACTAACTCGTCATCGTTTTGTTGAGTTTGGTGATTGTTGAAGGTTTGGGCTCTGTGTGGAGGATGCAGTGGCACTAACAATCGCGAGGGTAGTATGTATCCCTTTATATCGTAAAGTGAGCGGAGCGGAGCGTTCGGCGCGAACTTTCAACGCGTACAGTCGAATTTGAACTAACTTCGTGCTGGGCTTCGGGTCGCGCTCGAGATGCGTTCCGTCGCCTCCCCACCACTCCGCCTAAATAATGTCCCTTTACCTGTGTACTGCTAAATCTTATTGGTTTGGAATGGGGAGGGACGAGCACAATACCCACCGGAAACTAAAAGAACTGTCGATGTGTTTCGCTATGAATTTCGGTGGACAGCATTGAACATTGAACGTGTCCAGGTGCACAAAATCGAGATGAATCAAGATGTGTGTAACTTGACTCGTTGTTGATATAAATTAGAATTATATCCTGTCTATCGAACGGAACCAGAAAGATCCTCGATTTTTTGTATGAATGAATTGGGTGGTACACCATCAAAACACTACATTGTTCAGTTTGATGACTGAAAGAGGCCATTTGTGCTTTATCCAACAAGTTTTATATAACTTTTTGTTCGCGATGACAAAATATTTACTAAAAGGTCTTGATTTTAACTTCCTCGCTCTTCACATCCTTATTTAATGATTTTAACAAAACATCCCAAAATTACTATTTCTATGACAGCAGTCTTAAACCATTGGGTTTACAAAAATCAAATAAGAAAAATATTTACTATATACTATAACACATAACAAATGGACTTGATGCTATTTTTTATACTTTTGTAGGAATAGTACATAAATAAAATATGGGTAAAAAATATTATTATAAGTTAATTTGTAAAGCTACAAATAAACAAAAAAAATTAAAGTGAAATTTAAATACTTTTCTAAAAACTTGAGTCTTTATTTCGTCTATTTAAAAAATCGTAAATTATTAGGACAAATAATCCAAGAAAAGCAGAGACATAATAAAAAGGAAAGGAAATAATTTATAATTAGGGTGGCTCAAAAAACAAAATATTTTTTTCGAGTTTCCTTTAAAAATATCTTGGTTTATCATGTTTTATTATTTATATCAAAAGATTTTTAGAGGTCGCTGACAAATTTTGCAAAATTCCAATAACAGTCAATTTTGTTGCTACGGAAAATGAATAAGTTTCTCAAAGTTTTAGTTTAAAATATGAATTCTTAAGGCTCATAACTTTTATTTACTATATATAGTATTACACTCGAGATTAAGAATAGAAAGTATACTTTATCTATAAATAATTAAATTGATTTATCAATTGAATTGAATAATATTTGTTTTTTTTCGTGAATAATGCTAAACATTACAAATTCTTTGCCTAGAAAGGGGAATAATGACCTAATTATTCACGTGATAGGCCGATTTCAATATTTACTGTAATTTGAACCAATCGGGTTTTAAATTGGGAGAAGGCGACTATAATAAATTATTATTATTAAATTATTAATAAAATTTAAAATTGGTTAAATGTGAGGTTAACCATTTGACAAATGTGAGATTTTATTTAATTATTTATAATTATTTAATTATAATTAAATCATTTTCAAAAATAATTAAATAAAATCTCACATTTGTCAAATGGTTAACCTCACATTTTACCAACTTTAAATTTTATTAATAATTTAATAATAATAATTTATTATAGTCGCCTTCTCCCAATTTAAAACCCGATTGGTTCAAATTACAGTAAATATTGAAATCGGCCAATCACGTGAAGAATTAGGTCATTATTTCCCTTTCTAGGCAAAGAATTTGTAATGTTTAGCATTATTCACGAAATAAAATCCAATTTTTTTTTTTAGAAATACATACCTACTTATAGGTATACCTTTTTGTTTTTATTTTGGTTTTGTTCATTTAATTTATTATTTTAAAATGTCCCAAAATTACCGTGCCAAAACTAAGATGAAATTTTCTTTTTTTTTCGAATTTACAACATATACCTTTAATTTATTAATCGTAATCGTACGATTATTGGATGTACATATTATGTATGTACAAAATAATAATAATAATCTTTGCATCACTTTTTTGTAGATTTGTATAATAGGAATTTTTAGTTATTAAATTATTAATCAATGTTTTACTTTGTTAGTATTATTATAAGAGATTTATATTTATACGAAGAAGGCAAAATTAAGTAAAATGTATTATTTTTACCAATATCAATGTTTTAAGATATTTATAGATTTTTATAATTTTAAAAAAATATAAAATATTTATAATCCTTAAAATTTTATAAATACTCATGGCTTGTTTGTATTTAAAATTGTATAAATATGTCGTATAAAATTGATATTACTAATTAAAATTGAATATTTGATTTACACACTTTAAAATTAACTTTTATTAATTATTTAATTGTGTTAAATTTAAATTTTAAACCTTGTTTATTAACATTTAACAATAGTATCAATATTTAATAAATTAATGGATGGGTATAATTTATTTGGGTACTTTCATGTTATAAGAGTCCATTATTTTGATTTATCACTTTTAAAAAATTAAATATTCTAATAATTAATATAATAATTTTATTATGTTTATTTTTTGTTTAAAAATAATCATAGCCAATTATATTAAAATATATTTTTTTTTGGTTTTGTTGGTATTTTTATAATCATTTCTTGCTGACGTGCTTATTTTCTCTAAATGTATTTTAAACAGTTTCTATGCTACCCTCGTGTGACCGAAATTGTAGACCCTTTTTTAATGAGTCGATTTTATTGATTCTAATTATTTTTTTTGTATAGTGTATAACCCCAAAACTAAAATATTGTTTTTATTTTAGGATTAGGGCGCGTGTTCTAATATTCACAAAGTCAATATTTATTTATTCGGCAAATATTTAAAATTTCTGCACTTTGACTGATAAGCTTGTTTCAATTTAGTTTTATCAGTTAAACTGGGATATTTATTTAAGATAACATAATGCACTGATCAATATTTGACTTTCTTGCTTTTATATGCTATTTGAATCATCTAGTTCACAAAATAAAAGGATTGCCGTCCTAGACAATTGAACGCATTATAATTCAGAACGGGACCTTAGTTACTATTCTACGGATAATTTCAATTTATATCAAGCAAGATTGCACATACGCTTTACATTATAATATAAATGACCAAATTTTATCTCAAAAATATTTTATTAAAATTTGGTAAATTATTTAACGGACAGAATTATAAACATGAACATCTTAAAGTTACAAAAAATGTTGAGTCATATTTTTTTAAATATGTATTACAAAAGCAGAAAAATCGCAATGAAATATTAAGTTTAACAATTTCAATTTAATTTTACATGTTAATTTTTGTTATAAACAACAAAAGACAAAAGTTCTCTTTTAGTTCCACCCTTACTTCCTAAGAAGTCCCAGAAGCCAACTGAATGGCTTGAGCGGGTTAGGGGTAGGGACGGACCGCGGGCTTAAAGTCCCCTCCGAAGGACTAAGAAAAAAATTATAAAAATATGAATCGTCAACAGTTTTAAAAATATAAAAAAAAATCTTACAAAAGTAGGTACCTACCCTTTTACCTCTAACTATTAATTTATAATAATATGATTTTAGTATTTTAATTTTTGTTATTTTTAAAATGTTTTTATATCAATTGTTAAAAGAAGAATTCCTTATTTTGATTTATTTTTTAATATTTACGATTGTTAATGAAAATAGGACCAAAAACGAGTTAATTTATTTATTTTGGAATGAAGAAAAATTAAAAAAAACATTAAATAAAAAAAAAAACATTTAATTATAATACTTTGTGTCTATTCAGTTATAATAACTGGAACTCTTATTTAATAATTATTATTGGGATTTATATGAGGATTTTTCATAGAATTTTTAAATATTTTGTTTACACAGGGGGTTTCTACTTTCTTTTTAGGTTGTAGAATCTAATAAATCTAATCGAAACTAACACTTTTTTCAAATAAATATTTTTCATTTGACCTTTTACAAAATCTCCCTTATTCATGGCAAAGTTTTAAAAAAATAAGTTTAATAAAATATTAACCAACAAAGGTAAGGAGGTTTATGTAAAAATCAAAAAATCTCGATCTACATTTTAGATTCTACAACCTGTATTAAATTATTTATCAAAATTTTTTTAAATATTTTTTTACTTGAAGATTCGTTTTTAAGTACTCTTTTGTTTTTACATATACATTTTTATCTCCGTTTTTTTATTTTTTTATTGCCAGTTTAATATCTTTGTCAAAAATATTACCTTGTCCATTTTGAGTAGAGTTCTTTTTTTATTTACAAAATTAAAATGATAAATTTAATTTTTTAATGTTAATAAGAGTTTCTAAATAAACGTTTTTAACTTAAAAGAATTATTATGTATTTTTTAATCAACAAAAACAAAGTCTTTTAAAATTAATATCAATATATGATATTGTTTTTATGATTTTTAAACTCTTTATACTTTTCACAATATTTTTCGATATTTGGTTTTAATTATTATTTATAAACATGTTAACTCTTTTCTATGACTTAATTGTTTAATCTAATTTTTGTTGATATACCTATATTTTAAATTAACTTAAATGTTAACCAATTTAACAAAAGCAAATTACCTATATATAAATTTTAAATGTAAAAATATTAGTTATCACGAAAAAATTGTATATATATTTTATAATTTTTCAGGATTGAGGATGTTTAATATACCTACCTTTATAAATAGTGTATATACATAAATGTAAACTTAAAACTATTTTGTTTTCATTGAGGTCTTTCAAATTTATTGGGATTTTTATTTAATTATTTTTTATATTTTGTCATAACAACCAAACTAAAAAGTTACCCCGAAAAAAAAAAAACAAAAAAGTCTTTTAATATTAAATTTTACTTTTTTTTATTGTTCTTAACCTTTTTATCAATTCTTAAAAATTTTTAACATTATATTTATTATATTAAATAATAAATAATAATGTTAAAGATAATTTAAATTTTTACATTTTTGTGAGAAAGTTTTAAAAATTTATAAAAATAATGATTTATTTAAAAAAAAATGATTATTTATTTATAAATATCGATTTCTTAAAAATAGTTATTATTATGTATTTAACAATATTATAAGCATATTTT